AGCAGTTCAAAAGCATGTAAAAAAGGCAAGGAGGAAAATAGGAACCACTTGTGGCTGGGAAGGTAACAGCGTTCCGTGCGTCTTCGGCGTTTAGTCATGCCAGCCACATGACCACAGAGACGTCTTTGAACAGCGCTGGCTCTTCGGCTTTGAAACAGAGATGAGCACCACCCCCTAGAGTCGGGAACGACTAGCACATATGTGGAAGAGGAACCTTTACCTACTTTTTCAATTTGCAATTTGCAAACATTAGGGGTGTTCAAAAGTTGTAATATGTCTTAAGGATGGTAAAGATATTTGGTTACTTTAATATAAATTAGATGTGCTTGGTAAGTAACTAGATAAATATCATAACTTTTTAACATTGTGTTCGATTCATTTGGTCACATGATCAAAATTGAGATGCTTGGCACTTGACTCAAATTTATGATGGTTGCAATACCCAGGGATCATGTAACACCGCCCCCCCCTTTGCAACCTTCTGCCAAGCAAAGTCAATTGGGAAGCCAGATTCACTTAACAACCGTGTTACTAATTGAACAACTGCAGCTCCTTAGCTGTCTTTAAACTCTTCGGCGCTTCCGTGCATAGCACGTACGGTGCCTGCGCAATGCTCCACTGAGCAGCTGGATGGTAAGACACGTGCGTGCACACCACACGCATTCATGTGGAGGATGCCGGGCCCTGTTGCAATCGTACTGGTTGCAACATGATCCAGAACCCACTACTGCCCTATGCCCATGATGGTGAACCTACGGCACGTGTGCCTCTCTGTGACCATGCGTGCCATCGCCAGATGCTCTTCTGGTTTCTGGTGTGCATGCTGGTCTTTGCGGGTGCCAAAGCGCTGGAAAAACGGCCTGAATACGGGCCGTTTCCAGGCCATTTCCAGGTCAAAAAACGCCCTGAAACAGCCCTGAAAACAGCCTGAAAAATGGCCTGAAAATGGCCCCCAAAATGACCTGAATACTGTGCCAAAAACGGCCGAAAAACAGGCATGCACACGCCGGCCAACTGGTCTTCCGGCACATATACACGCATTTCGGTTTGGGCACTAGGTGCCGAAAAATTTCACCATCACTGCCCTATGCCTTAAAACATTTTTTTAAGTCGTGAAAAGTGCTCTTTTTTAATTTGTGGGTCTCTTTTTTTAATACTCACAGAATTGAATTTAGAGCTTATCATCCCAGTGCCATTATTTACATGCGAGGGAAATGAAAAAGATTTAATTTTTAAATTAATACTCTTATCTTTTATTCCAGCAGAATGGTTAAACTGGTTGTAGAATGAATAGAAATGAAGCAGAATTCTAAATAGAATGTACTGGTAAATAGAAATACCTAAAGTGCTCACCCTACGGTGTACATTACCATCAGTAATGAAGAATTCAATCCAGCCCAACAGAGAAGTTGATTTAAAGTATGAATATTGAATATTGATTTGTTTTCACTTAGAAAGCAACGGAGGTCAAGATAAAGGAATTGTTAACCCCCTTTTCCAGGAAAATCATGCAGCTTCAGCAAAGTTATGAAAAAAGGAGCATTACCAAAAAATTGGCAATATAATCTTAAGACAGCTGTTTGTATTTTGGCCACGGAATGTGGAACAATGTGAGTAGGAAAACAAACAGGTGGGTTAAAAAAATCACATGCTATATTGCAAGTTCGGGAAAATTTCTGCTGACATGGAAAATATTCACTTGTCTGTGAGCTGAGTTTCTTAAATTAAAGCCAGCCGAGAATTTGGGGTTTGGTGAGAAGCTATAAAAAGCAGGAACGCTTCTACAATTAGGCTTTTTGCCTCCTTGGGGAAACTAATCTTGTGAATCCACAACTCAAATATTACAACCACTTCCTGGATTCTTTAAAAAAAAACCTTGGAGGTTTTAGATCATTTCTATCTTGAGATGGAATGTTTTGGAGCTCACCAGAGAAACAGAAGGAAAATTAACTTAATGGGAACATATTAAAGCTTCGAGGAATGCAAAGGTAAGAATGCCATTGTGTAATGCATAATTCATATGAGACTCTGTAATGAAATTATAGTGGTTCAGAATCCATTCTTTTTCTAGGTTTTCATTATCTCCAAACATCCCAAGGGAGATGCGCCTTCCCTGTCAGATGGTCCCAGTTCCAAATCCTCCTTCTCTTCTTCCTCCTCTGAACCAAGCTCCGATGGGGCCATGACACCAAACTCTGAAGCATAGTAGGGGCCACAAGCAAGACCTCTCATTCCCAATCAAAACCAACTGGTGCCTACCCCATAGGGAAGTAAAGAACCAGCCCAATACTGTGCCACTCACCCCCAACCCATGGAGACAATTCAGAAGAATGCCATGGTTGATGATATCGAAGGATATGAAAAAGTCAAGGAGAGCAAGGAAAGATGCTTTATCTATCAACTCGCAAAGCATCCCTGGCCTGCTCTCGAGTTGCCATAGGCAAGGGGGGTGGGAAACTGATGAAGCAGCATGGCACAAACAGAAGCACATTCCAGACATATCTTTCTCAAGGCTGTCTCCCAGGTTACCCACAGCTGCCGGAGGGGAGTCATCTCTACAACCTGCGAAATTGCTCCATTGGCGAATGTGATTTATGACACACCCTGGGGGGAGGGGGGAAACAGGGTCATAATTGGGCCATAAATTACGTGGGGTCAGAGTTGGCTTCACTTGGGTACATGCAGACATGACGCTCCAAATAAATAACGTTTTGTTTTGAAGCTTGGCTCAAGGCTCATGATTTAATCAGGGCATCTGTTGGAACCATGACATTATCTCTGTTTCGCTCCCACTACTTGCAATGCCTTATTTGTCCCATGCCCAGGCCTGACAACTGTTTGAAAGGAGTCCAAATTTCATCGAGAGACCCCTGAAGCTGCCGTGCAGCCATCTCCTCCAAAATCTTCCTGTCAGACACCAACAACCAGACCCATTCATGCAGAGTTCAAGCTAACTATGTCATTATGTTGTGCTTATAATACAGGAATCTCCCCGGTCTCTCAGCCTCCCCTTAGGACCAATTAGATAAGGGCACTTTTGCAGTTGAATAGTTACTCCAGGCCAGGGGTGGGTTTCTCGCCCCGTTCCAACCAGTTAGGTTGGAACGAGGCCGCCGGCGTCCTTGCGCATGCGTGCGGCATCCTCGCGCACATGTGCGGCGCATGCATGCGTACTAGCATCTGTGCGATGCTCCAGCTGCTCCTGGAGGATCACGCAGGCGCTGTATGCGTCCTGCGCATGAGTGGAAACGCAGAATTCGTCAAAACCGGGTAAGGAGCGGGTGCGCGCGGGCCTTTCACCGTTCCCGGAAGTTACTTACTTCCGGGTTCGGCGACCAACCGGTTCGCCAGGGACCGCCGCGAACCGGTTGAAACCCACCCCTGCTCCAGGCTAACCCCATGCTTGATTCCTGGAATGCAGAACCAGGACAAGACAGTGGGCCCACCTTCTCCGCGAGTGCCTTGTCCTACGTCTCCCCTCATATTTTCCGATCATACCTGACACCACCATGATGTTCTGCTTCCAGTCCCTCAGGGCTCTGATACACACACACACTTTTTGGTTCCCAAAACAGAGGATCCCCACATCTCACCAACAACAACCACCATCTCAAGGCCGGAGATTGCACAGGTTGCTAACCCCTGCCCTAAACCTTCCTCTCAGCACAGTTGTGAAGGTAGAATGTCAATGGAAAAGAAACAGAAGCAAAACATCAGAATAAATGTGGGTGGGGGGGAAATGAAACATGGCTATCTCGGTACTGACCAACACATCTGGTCTTCTCTTCATTCAGGTG